TTGGATGTGGTAGCCGTTTCTTAGACTCCCTCTCCGGAATCGAACCCTTATTTCCCGTTACCCGTTACAACCATGATATTGATATTAACTACTATCATAACATGAAACTAAAAAGTGAAAAATAAATATAGTTTAAAAAAACTAAAAAACACGCTTTTAAAGCACATCGAACTAAAAAGTTAAAAATAATTTTTAAAATTAACTTAAAACAATAATGAACGAAAAATACTAGTATTATTGTGAAAAAAAGCGTGGGTGCTTTATGCCATATTTTTTGTATATTGAGCGCCTGACGCTTTTTTTCACAATAATACTAGTATTTTTCGTTCATTATTGTTTTAAGTTAATTTTAAAATTTATTTTTAACTTTTTAGTTCGATGTACTTTAAAAGCGTGTTTTTTAGTTTTTTTAAACTATATTTATTTTAGTTAAGCGCGTGAAATAACAGATTCACAACAAAATTGTAAGAACAATAGTTGTTTAAAATAAAATTTTACACAAATTATATTTTGAACAATTTTTTGATTTACTTATTATTTATGTATAAAAATTCAATAAATACAATTTTGTTGTTAAAAACTCACAAAATAAAGTGAATGTTAGTTATAGTTTTCCAACTCCTGGTAATTTTCGTAATTTATCATTACAGCAATGTTTAATCATTACGAATACTAAAAAAAAAAAACCGATAGTACTAGTCTTATTGACGGTAATTTACTACCAATAATTTGGTTTGACGGAAAACCAATCAAAAATATAAATGTATCTTTTCGTAAAGTTTTCCGTGAAACCATTTTAATATGTATTAAAAAAATGTTAAAATATCAAAATTATTGTAAACACTAAAATGTATACGATTTAAAAATGATCATAGAGGTGCAGTAGAACTAATGAAAACAATAATCTGATAAATGTATAGTTAGGACAAATATTGGTAAAGGGTTTTGATAAAGGCTTTATTGTCTTTTTAGACATTCTTGTAATAAATTGTGACTTGATGGTTTAATAAAAGTTTATTCAAGATTAAACATTGCTGTAACGATAAATTACAAAAATTACCACGAGTTGAAAAACTATAACTAATATTCGTTTTATTTTGTGAGTTATTAACAACAAAATAATATATATTGACTTTTTATACATAAATAATAAGTAAATCAAAAATATTGTTCAGAATATTGTGAATATAATTTGTGTAAAATATTATTTTAAGCAACTTTTGTTCTTATAATTTTGTTGTGAATCCGTTATTTCACGCGCTGAACTAAAAAAACAATGAAAAATGTACGGTTACATTTTCTTTTCTGATTTACCTAAAACATTACATAACTCATTTTTATAAGTATTGGAACTAATTGAGATTATATAATTTTTTAATTTTATTACATTAATTTTAAGAACCACCCTAGTGACGCGTGGCGAGTTACAAACAACGAACACACAACATACATGTGAAACTAATATAAGCGTGTTAAAAAAGTACAATATTATTCGTTGTATAATATACATAACTTAATTAAATAGTCACACTAATTTAAAAAGTGTACAAGTGTGAAAATGAGTAAATGATACAACATGTGTACCATCTCATAATATCTTACAACGTGCGTGGTTAAAATATCAATTTAATAAAATAAATATTTTAATAGTTTTTCAATAAATACTATAAATAAATACATTTTTACAATTAATAGATTAATTAATAACTAAATTAATATATACGAATTTATGAAAATTATATAAACCAAAATATACAATACATAAAATACATAATAGGAATCATAATTTCCTGATAAAATATGTTGTCCAAAAAAAATAAAATTACAAATACTTCCTTTTTTGGTTAAAACATTAGTTCAGTAAAAATTATTACAAGTAACTAATCAAGTAGGTTGAAAACACTCTGGAGCAAATTAAAGCTAATTTTATTATGTATTATATTATGTCTATGGTGAATTGAATCGATTATTACAAAAACAACATAAGTCAGTAATTTTTTTAATTTTTCCAAATCTTATAGTAGTTAACATAAATACGATTATATTATAACAATTAAATTTGATAGACTCATATTAAACTTATATATGTGATGCAATAAATGAGAATCATCCCAAATTTGTTATAAAATTATTTATTGCTAAACTCAGTTCAAATAAATTTTTATTTTAATTATAACTAAAATCGTGTAAACATGTAAAATACAGATATTGTTTTATTTTTACAGGTTATCTTATAATGGGAAAGTAATAAACNTTTATTTTTACAGGTTATCTTATAATGGGAAAATAATAAGCTTTTTGTAATTATTTAGGATATTAATAATCGAAGCACAGAAATCTATAATAATTTAACCTTAAGTTACAAGATAATTTTTAAAATTATATTACATTTACATTGAGTTTTATCTTTTTGTTTATTTTTATTATTAAAATATATATTTTTAACTGTTTAAAAATAAAAATTGTACAATTTATTGAAAATCTGTACACAAAATATTTTGATTTTGTGTNAAATATTTTGGTGTAATATTTTGATTTTGCTTAAAATATATAGCTACTGCTTTTTAGTGAATATAATAAAACTATATTTTAAAAATTAAGAGATTGTTTATTTTCGATCCCACATAATTTCTTTAATATTAAATTTGTTGCATATAGTACTTACAATATGTGCCACTATTCAATTAAAAATATAATATCGAATTGATAAGCTGAATTTTTTTACAATTTATTTTATAGTATCAAAATAAAAAAACCCATCACAGGGGGGTCGCGGCACAGTGGTGACGTGGCATAGTTGGATCAAGTATAATGATATCTGATAGTGATTAAAATCACTATCAAAAATAAACGCTTCGATGCAAATCTTTAGATAGTGTTTAATTTTAAAAAAATTGGTGTTTTATTCCAAAAGCTACTTGATCTGCTGGTTCCTTATTAATATCTCGATTAAGATAAAGTATGTCGAATGAAAAAGGGTTTATTAAAAAATATTATTTCTCATAAAAAAATTGTGTGGATCCATAAACTTTTCAATAAGTTATAGCATTATAAAGTTAAATNAAAATATTCCTTATTCAAATAAAAAGTAGCTTAACCAGCTTTTTCCATACAAACAATTAAAATCATTAATTTCTAATATTCTTAAAGTATTCATTGTCGAATTAGATTTGATATGATAACAGTATTCAACTACAAAAATAAATAATTTTACTTTGTAATTTATTAATTTTTTAACTTTATTTGTGAGTGCTACTACTAGTCTCTAATATTCCAAATTTTTAGGTAACATGTTGCTATATAAATCATAAATGTAAAAAAAAAATGATTTTTAGTTTCACCTGAATTTAACGATGGATTTTTACAATTATAATCAAATTTTATAATACGCTCAATTGAGTAAATCTTTTTAGTAACTTTTTTTTTATTGGTTTTTTTAGATATATAATCATTAAAATTAATTAAATTCTGACTATTTCCATTGTAGAATCTTTTTAAACGCCAAAAATTTGTTAGAAATAATTACTATTGTAATAGATATTTAGCACTTATAATTTTATTTTATTTATATTTTTATAATAATGATTTTTTTAATAAACCGCATTTTAATGAGAGATGATAGATATAAAAACACCAATACATATATGAAATATTAACGCAAATTAGTAGAACAATATATTGCGCATAGATCCCNACGCAAATTAGTAGAACAATAGATTGCGCATAGATCTCTCTAAATTAATTACCTAGCCAATGAGAAGCATTGTGCAAATTAAACTAATTCTCCCCCTCATAAAACAGGCCTATAAAAGAGCAATTTCTAGCTCATTCGTCACCTTATTTTTTTTCTAAAAATCTGGTCATGAAGCGTCTTTGCACCAGATTGTTTCGCGTTTGTGCTCTCTATGACTTAGAATCTTTTTCACACTTGGTGTTTATTATCTAAATCTCTCATTATTAATGTCATTTTAAAAAAATAACTTAACCTTTTTATCTTTTTATTTTTAGTTTTAAATATTTATAAAATATTAAAACAAATTAAATTTTTATTTTGTATTTTGTGAGTTGTTTCAATTAAGAATTTTTTTAATTCTTTAATTGGATTGTCTATTTAATAAGTGCATTTCGAAAATCTACCTTAGCACATCAAGTGGCTAAAACTGTTGGTAAAACAATGGTTTATGGCATGTCACTAAGGAGATCGTAGAGTGTATCTTAAATTTGAATAGATAAGTGTTTGATTGATTGCATAAGGTGCTGATAGTTTGTTGAAATCATTACCCTAGCACATCAAGCGGTTAAAACTGTTGGTAAAACAATAGTTTATGACGTGTCACTAGGGATTGATTCTCATATTCTGTCACGCTCTTTTCGACAAGTAGTTTTAGACTCTGTAAGGTCCATGCATCGACGAGTATATCTCCGATGGTGTAGCCAGCCTGTCTCTAACTCTGTCGACTCTCATATTAAACACACAATTCTATAAAATACTGATAGTTTATTGAAGTCATTACCCTAGCACATCAAGCGGTTAAAACTGTTGGTAAAACAATAGTTTATGACGTGTCACTAGGGATTGATTCTCATATTCTGTCACGCTCTTTTCGGCAAGTAGTTTTAGACTCTGTAAGGTCCGTGCATCGACGAGTATATCTCCGATGGTGTAGCCAGCCTGTCTCTAACTCTGTCGACTCTCATATCAAACACACAATTCTATAAAATACTAATAGTTTATTGAAGTCATTACCCTAGCACATCAAGCGGTTAAAACTATTCGTAAAACAATAGTTTATGACGTGTCACTAGGGATTGGTTCTCATAAGCTATCTGGTTATAATTTTTCTTATTTTAAAATATAAAGTAACACATATACTCAGACACCAAGTATAGAAAGGAATTACAGTGAAGTAATATTTCAAGTTTAACAATTTGCATAATTTTACAAAAATTAATAAGTAAATAAAAGTCAGTGTTCTCTTTATATATATATATATATATATCTTTTACGCAATAAACAATCAAGCTAGCTGGACACAAGGTAAGAAATTACATTTCTAAACATGTCATAAAAATTAAGGATAGACGTAAGATAGATCAAGAATAACTTTTATCGAGGGAATAATAGAATTGTTAAAGGTGGATAATTTGAAAAGTTATTAATAACTACTTTCTCACCATTCGGGTCACAATAGTACGCGTTCAACGTAGATGTTTTAACTTGTATTATACAACTATATAAAGAAAATAATTCAGCCATTAAGGCTTGCCGCCCATCAGTTGGACAGTAGCATATTACATGAACACACGCTGTTTCCCATTCATATAGCATGACCAATAAATATTAAGAGTCGTAAAATCCTCCTCCGTAATCATTGCACATTTCATTGTAGAATTAATATGACTCAGGTGTGCATCATCCGAATATAATTTTCCTTCAATTTACTTTTTACGACAAACCACGCGTGGTGGTAGTATTTTAATAAAGAGTTCATGGATATATATATTGTACACTATATTTTCACCTTGTAGCTAAACGTACTTCAACAATCTATTAACCATAACATCTATATATAACATCTACATTCTATTATTATTCCTCTTTCTTAATTATAAAAAAATATAAATATCACACGTATAGCCACTTATTTTATTTCCCTCATCATCCTTCATTATAATAATCTCTCTTCATTCTTTTTATTATTATAATTAATATCCAAAACTTTTTACCATCTTTTCTTTTTTATGAAAAAAATATTAATAACACATAAATAGTCAATTATTATCCTATTATTATACGTCCACTCTCTTCTTTTTTTTATGACAGTCCAATAAACATAACCGTATTGTAGAAAGCGGTGCAAGAACTTACTAAGTTTTTCATGATATTATATAATCTGAAAATGTAATGTATTTTAAAATATTGTAATAAATCGCAAGTTGTACGTTATATCCAGTATCGTTGACATACATTAACTAGCTGCGTTGATAAATTGGTGTTATTAGTTTACAAACCGTGCAAACGAAAACTAAGAAAGGTAATACAGCATTGAGAGGAGTCAATGAAACATTATGATCTAAATATCGTATAAAATATTGTTATTGTTTGTTATATTTTATTTATGTTTTCTTATTAGTGAGGACACTTAAAGAACAAGTATATCAAAAATAAATTAAATCAGGTACCCAAATTTATCGATGTTGGTTATTTAATTAGGTGAAAAAACTAAGTTTGTAAACTTGAAATTTGAAGCTTTTAACATGTAAAANATGATGTGTTTTTTTTTTTTTTATGTCTGTTGACACTTTTTCTCAGCTCTCTTTGGACCGATTTCTTTCAACAATACGTCAAAAGATCACAAATCGTATCTAGTTGAAGACATTACCCTTAAAAATTAAAAAATTTTCCCTCGTTCCCCGCAAATGAAGGAAATATTCNAAATTAAAAAATTTTCCCTCGTTCCCCGCAAATGAAGGAAATATTCAAAAAAATTACAAATTTAAAAATCGGTAAATTTTGTCATTTTTTTCACTTTTTTTTCTTAAAACTTTCATAACTTTTTCAAAAAGAAACAAATCAACATAATTTTTTTTATACTAAAACCTTAGATATTTCCCTTTCATTTGATATCATTTTTTTGAAAATCTAATACTTAACCTGCTCATTGGGGGGATTTAAAATAGCAACTTTTTTACAAAAACTAAATTTTTCAACTTAACTTTTGAAAGTGTTCCGGAAATACTGCATTCTTTAAACATATATAAAATTAAAGCTTATTTTATGTACTATAAAATAAAAAAAAAAAAATTTGTCCCGATGACCTATCTTCTATGCACAAATGGCTACCGTATTCAAAAATATGCTATTTTTGTGTTAAAATCCTGGGTTTTGTATTATATTTTATTTTAAAATATCTTATAAAAGCAATACACTGACTTTCATAAATATTTTATAATTTAATTGTCAAAGAATAAAGTTCATAAGGCATAAGAAATTAAATTTTTTTTATTTATTTAAAGTCGAAAAAGTAATTTTTAAATTTGAGTTAGTTTAAATAGCCAATTTTATCATGCTATAAAGCAACAAATAGTTGCCGAGTTGGGAACACTTGTGTTTTATACGCTTACGGTCGAGGTTAGTTCCGTAAGTGGCAAGTAATATTTTGCATTTTTTTTTGAGTTAGAATAAAATTTTCAAATCATTTGATATTTATCTCATT